ATTGAGTGTAACATGAATTAAGTTTATATAAGATCCATAATTACGGGTAGTATATGTAGCAATGTAGACACACTATGTTTCAAATTTTGAATAGAAGAACAAAACAAATACTCCCTTCGTCCCCTTTTATAGTGCTTATTTGTAAAATTTCACGGTAATTAAGGAAAAACCTAGAAAGTACAAAAATCAGATGAAAAGCTACTCCAATTTCTTGAGTATGTAGACATTGAAATCGATCTTAATTTTTGAGTAGTTGAGTGACATACTGGGCTTGGGCACCAAAATAAATACTATCTATATGAGGCCTGGTTAGACGAGCCCAATTAATGTATCCAGAACATATTTTGGGTTGGGCCTAATAGTTCAATGAAGACAAAATCGACTAGTTCGGACTTACCAAGGCAAAAGATAAAATATGGGTTGCTCTGTAGTCTCGTAAGCATGACAATCTTTTTATTTTTTTTTATTTTTTTATTTTTATGAAGGACCTTTTTGAACCGACATCTCTCATAGGTTAATTTAGTCCAACTCCATAGGTTAACGTTTGAGAGTAGAGGGGAAAGGTAAGAGAATCCTCTACTCCCTAGCATTGAACACGTGACCTCAAAGTTATAAGGTGAATTCCCTACCTATTCCACCAAGCTTGCTTGGTTATTAGCATGACATATTGATTCTCAAAACGCCATAGTATTTTATGTGAGTATGTCCGGTTGGGATCATACGATAAAATTTGAACAATAGAGAGAAAAATCTTCGCTTTATCATATTTGTAGACAAAATTTGTCAGACTTGCTACTTATAGATTTTCTTTTTGAATCTAGGTTTGTTTTTCTTTGTCTAGGCCTCTAGGATAGTCTTAATTATTTTAAAAACGATGGATAGAATTTACCTTAATTGTTAATCGTAATTTAATGTCTTCGAAAAAAAAAAAAACTCGCAAATTCAACTTGAAAAAGCATACATAATTTATGTAAGGTCTATAATAACATCAAAATTCAATGTCAATCAAGACATGTCCTATAACCTCGTGACACCCCCCCAATGGCTGAAACTAAGGACTATGTAATTACAAGAGTTGAACTCATGTATATAATCTCACTAGTAAAAATACTAAGAATGAACTCACTAAATGATCTATACTATTAAGTATATAGTGTTTATATTTCTCCACACCAAACCATCATGTCATATTGTCATGTGTCCCCCCAAAAAAAAAATAAAAAAAATCAAACAAAATATTTAACCAAAATTGAGCATTAATTTGTAAACACGTCAAAAAGCACCATACACCTACACGAATCACGTACAGAATGTAAATACAATAGTTCACCCAATGTAAGATAGACGCTTAATAGTCCTCGAGTTTTTCAACTCTCACCCATACCAATATGTGTAGTTATATACCGTGACACAAAGATGAAACCTGCACAAAATGTCAGGCTCCCCAAATAAAACACACCTCCAAAATATTATCCAGTATTAATTTGTGATGTCGGATCAGATCGATATGATCAAAGTTGCAAGCTAAGATTGACATTAATTAAGCTAGCTGTTGCCTGCTAATAAGTTGATCATCTAATTTTTTGGACAATAGAATTTAAGGTAACGTGCACCCAATTATGAGAATTAATCTTATTACCTGCCTTTTTTCTTTTATTTATACATAACAAAACGTCCGATTTCAGGGAATATCAGCAACAAACAACATTTATATTCGTGGAAATTTGGAATCAATCATATGAATACTAGTGATTAAGATAGCTAACTAGCTAAATTTGTAACCCAAAGTTATTATTTGATTAATTAATACGGAGTACAAAACATTATTATATACGACTACATACTACGTATTGAAGTATATCAATATTTGTATTGTTATTGAAATGATTCATAAGTGCAAGCATGTTATTGAAGTATTGTTACTATTGTAATGGATACATGGATCTACCATTGCATTTGGAAATTGAAACCTAATTGCTACGGTTGACCAAAACATTCTACCATTATTTTATACGAATACTTCTTCTGTTTTTTTTAGATAAAACTTTTTCATTTTTACGGTATATTTTATAGTCGTGAAATTCAAATATTAATATATTTTAATACCATTATTGATAAAATAAACCCTAACATCAAGACGAGCAAGTCTTGTATGTGGCTAGCCACACGGTGTGGCCACATTGATTTATAAGAATAATCTTTATTTATATATAAAAGTAACCTCATTTTGTCCATTAAAGTAACTCCAATTCATTATATGAGTAATATAACCTAATTTAGATATAAGTAACCCCATTTGTTCATTCAAGTAACCCTTAGTTTTTTGTTTTAAAAATTGAAAGAATGATTCCACTTATGTAAGAGAGTAACCCCTTTTTTTCATTTAAGTAACCCACATACGTCAAGGTAACCCCATTTGCTAATCACCGTAACCCCCTATTACTTATTTAATTGCCTTATATGTGAAGTGGCCACACCATGTGGCTAACCACATATAAGAATTTGTGTAAGAACGAATATATAAGATTCCACTTATCTATAAAATGATGTTTTTCCATTAGTGTATAGTATAATCCACCAAATATAGGGAAGTAAAGTGCGTGTTTAAATAGTAGAGAGTATGAAAATAATCAAAGTGTTCTAATCTTAAAAAACGAGGATTATGTACTAATTATTGTAATTAATTACTAAACTCACTATCTTTCTTTCCCATTTTCGGTGGAGGGAGGCAAGGGTTAGTCGGTTGGTTGTGACTTGTGAGGCGTGACTTGTGGGTCATGTAAACAATATGCTAATTTTCCAATGTTTACTTAGCTTACTCTACTAAACTTCTTCTTCTACTACTAGTAATAATATTATTATGAGATCGATCTCTAGCAAGGAATAGTATGATAGAATATAGATAAATGTCTGAGTAATTTTTTTTTTGGGCATATTTCGAGTTATTATGCATTCCCTCAATGTATAAAAGTGCATTTAGGGCAAAAGGCAAATGTTGAAGTAGACTCTTTAATTAACTTTCTAAGATTAGCATAGCTTTTCAATATTTTATCACTTTCATAATTAAAATAAAGTCTTTTTCTTTTTTTTTTTTCCATTTGATGGATCGGAGGTTACACATATACAAATTACGAAGTACATTTTTTTTTCCACGGGTAATATAGATCATTGTATGTATGTGTTTTGATTTTGATATATATTATAGACATGTTTTTTCCACATTTGAGACGGGTTACACATTTTTATTTTTATTTTATTTTTTATTTTTTATTTTTTTATGTTCATTCCCACATGGTGGAGGGAGCATAGATCTATGTATAGTGGTTGCAACTTTGACACATATCGTAAAGCTAGTTAGAGTACTTACTAATTATATTATATGGAGCATTAATTAACATGATGAATAAACTAAGCAAAGGTATATTCTGATGTTCTTGCTAACCTAAGTAATAATGTGGTAGCCGACATACGCGGTGATGAAGAACTCGATCCAATTAAATGCCAATCATGCATGTATAGATGAATAGATCATACTCATGTTTCATAGTGGGAAGATGGACCGACCTTTAATGTAGATTGGGATGGTACGGATATATGCACTATGTAAATTAACCTCTTTTTTTTTTTTTTTTTTTTTTTTTTTTTTTTGGGTTTTAGAGAGGAACCAAAGTTTAATTTGGTTTAATATATAAGTAGGACCACTTATATGTATGATAAGATCTGTATGTATGTATAGCCTCCTTGTTGGACTTCAAAGCTCATAAAAACGCAAAACAACAAGATCGATTATTGAAGTTGGAATGGAATGTAAGTCAGAAAGTTGAAGTATGTTAAGTCAAGGTTGAGTACTTTATATGAGTTTTTGTTTTGTGTGAAAAAGATGTAATGCGTAGTATAATGATAGCTTGTACACGAACAACTGAACACTAAATAAGTAGATGTGGTAAATATGTTATGAATTGGGTTCATTTCTGATCATATACACAATATTATTTTTTTGTCATGTGGTCTTATGTGTATCCGAAAAACTGATTATAAGGTTCAATATATAGCATATGGTTTTTGTTGCAAGTGATTGTTGCTACTAATTTTGGTTTGTTAATGCAATTGGCAACTATGATGGTCCCACTTGAACTATATTGAGTCAAGAGAAGACGTAGGATAGTAGCTAGTATTTGAAAACACAACAACTAACACATGTAATCGCCCTCGAATTATTAGAGTTTATGCCAAACTTGTAACTAGAGACGTAATCACGTAAAAGAGATCAAATTTTTGACAAAGAGAGTAAACAAAGTTCATTACACACTATTACATTAACCATGATTATTGCATGTCAGCTATGTTCAAGTGAACCCTCAATTTCTCAAACAAACACCAGAATATCATATATGAGCTTAACTTGTTCCAAACCAATATTTATAAAAAAACGTACCAAAAATACCTAACCAAGCTAAGTTTATTGAATTATAGTTTGTTCACGTTAACGAAACCGGCCATTATCATTATTCATTAATCTAGCTAGTAAAAAACTTTCTATTAGTAATTTAACACCGGAAACTTCGACATATTCTTAGTTAAGTCCTCAACTATTGCATATGAATATTAAATTCATAGTTTTGCATTATTCATGGAACTTAGCCAACTAACTGTTATCTTGTTCATTACATCACAAGGCCACATGAAAATATATATAATATCTCTCTCTCTAAAAAAAAATAAAAAAATAAAAAATAGAAAATAAAAAAAATAAAAATGGAATTAAATAAATAAATTCTAGATGTATGAGAATGAGACCTTAGACATATGGAAAAGGCACTCCTTATTCAACGCTGGCTTAAAGGAATCTAACCATATTTCCTACCAAAAATGCTCAGATAGTGAAAATTTTGACTTATTTCATACCACATATTGATATTTACTATGATATTATTGATATATCCAAAGTGACCATTTAAAGAAACAATGTAACAGAAAAAATGGCAAATTAATCATCTCTCTAAAATATAATTATAGACTTTATATATAGGGAGTACTTGGATTTTCCATATAATTTTTCTCTTCAATAAAGAGAAAAACCCAAAAAAAAAAAAAAAAAGAAAAGAAAAAAAGGAAAGCTTGCATTCACTTGACATTTACCATAAGCTTTTGAACAAAAAGAGAAAAGACCAATGCAAATTGGTCTAATATTACTGAATGATCAAGTGAACAAAGGTTGAGGAAGACGGCCGATTGCAACACCGCCTTCTCGGCACCCGGCAACATTAAACAAACGCTTGAAGTTCTTAAGTTGAACCATAACTTGTTTGTAAACACCCATCTTAGTCTTAACAATGTTAGACAACATAGTTTTCCTTAACCTCAAAAGTCTCTTACCAATTCTCACCTTTAATTTGCATATTCTCAACTTTAACCAAGAAGGCCTTGATGATCTTCTTACTATAATTTGATCCGCTTGCTTCAACGTCTTGTAAATCAAAAATTGAGCCTCTCTTTGTTTTTTATCTTGTGGATCTTCTTTTTCCATCATAGTGTAACCATAGTTATTAAAACTATTGTTTTTCTTGAATAAAGTTGCCATATTTTTTGTATATAATATGGTCTTTTTTATTTTTGTAGGAAAAATATATGTGTACCAAAAATGTTGGAGAAAGAAGAGAAAAGGAGAGAGGTTATGTAATGAAATGAGGGTGGGAGGGATTTTGGTGTATATATATAAGTAGGAAGAAGTGAGGTAGTCAAAGAATTAATTATTAAATTAAGGGTTTGGAAAAGCATACAATGTGCTCTTTATGTTTAGCACTAAATTATGTGACAGTAAGGAAATAGAAATGAAATTACATGGAAATATATATATATGAGGACATACATTATTATTTCATCAATTTTCGGAGCTGTCTAAGAGAAATTATTTAAGAATATATCCAAATGATGAATAATAATATTAATTACAAATTGGAGTATATTAATTACAAATGACAAGTAATAGTTTTCCATAGGTTTGGTATATAAGAGGTGTGCATAATGTATACATTATGATTAGTGACCCCTAATTAATTACATAAAAATTAAGTCATCAATAATTTCACTTTCACATACTCTTAATTTTGTACAGTAAACAAATCATGCATGAGTTTTAACTATTAGTTTAAGCTTTTGTATAACCTGATGATGGTTAAAACCCAAAACTAATTTAACCTTTTTTTGGTTCAAAACTAAGCCCAAATGAAAAATAATAATAACACTAATTACAAATTGGAGTATATTAATTACAAATGATGAGTAATAACAATATAGTTTTTGATTTGTTTTGTGTACAACGGGTGCGCGTATTGCATTTTGTATATATTATGATTAGTTACCCTATTATATAAAAATTAAGTCACCAAATTTTAATTCAAAGTTGATTTTCACAGTTTTTGACTTTTTGTGGACCAGATTTTTTCAATGTAGAAGGGAATTCCCACCTCCAAGTATCCTCGGCCTCACTTATTGTTAATGTTATTAAAAAAAAAAAAAGAACTACATCATAAGAAAGAGTTTGGATGTGCTCATCATCATACGTTTAGTAGTAGTATTACACTATTACCTAACAAAATTTAACTACTTTATTTCTGTGTATTTTTTTTAGCTTGGATGTCCTAAACATGATGTCAAAGGAGGATGGGGTGGGCATCCACCCAGTATACTGATCTTCTACTCTTCTTCCCTGAAATATGGAGTTAGCTAATTACAGGATATAGAAAAGTTATTGTGAGGTATTGCAGTATTTTATTGTAACAGAATCTATGATAGATGAGAAAGAAAATTAATTATTCAATCTCTTCATATTTTTCAATAATAGTGTGAAACAATATACTTGTATACAACATAAAATTTATATTTATATAGTTCTTTCGATTCTATAATGTGGATACCAGCTTGTGGATGTTAGCTAGTTAGCTGAGTTGCTTAATATGTTAGGAGTGATATCCAAGATATAGAAATGTGAGTACTCTACGTATTTCACTATGAGAGCTAGCTGAAGAGAGAAAGTAGAGCTTAAGTTAAAAGGTTGAGAATAGGAGGGTTAGAAGAATACAAAGTATGTTATTTACATATGTATGGATAATAAAGTTTATAAAATTGAGGCAACCAAAAACGAAAGTGGGAAGAGAAGAGATAGAGAAAATTTCACTTGATTTATGTAGACTTATCCAATAACATATGGTCTAGTGGTAAGGTTTGCATCTCACAACCTTGAAGTTGCGGGATCAAACCCCACTAGAAGCACTTTGGGGTGGGGATTCCCTTACCCTTTCCCCCCCACTCCCAAAGTGCTAGTAGTGCGATCCTTAAAATTTACGAAAAGCTAAAGTCAATCTATATCGTAAAAAGAAATAACTATTATAGAGTGGAATTTTACTTTTACTTATTTTTTCCAAAAGGCAATGAGAAAGCAATCCCTCATTCTTTCAAACTCACAAATAAATATATGGTCAATCTAAAATTCTACTTTCTATATATAGCACTTGCAAATCAAAAAAGAGGTGGTAAGTCTTACTTTTAAGAATTTTTTGACTCAAATAGTTCGTACTTCCTACTTTCTAAATAAGTATAAATTTGCAAAGAAAAATGAAACTAAAATGTGATTGTTTATTTTAGTTTATTTTGTTGCCAAACAAAAGGACTACTTGGAAAATGTTGGGTCAAATTCTAAGTATGGGCATTGGTCCATGCTTAATTGGATTGCTAAGATTATTAATTTTGATATTGATACTATTAATTATACTAGTAATACTATATAGAATGTCTTTCAAGAAGTTGAGATGGCCAATATCACGTCAAGAATAGAAGGCCATTTTTTTTTTTTTTTTTTTTGGAAGAAATAGAAGGCCAATTTTGACTAGCAAGCATGTATATCATCGTGCACAATAGTGACTAGTTGGCTGTTTTGTCCAATGTACTCTTGTAAGCTTCCAACTTTCCAAGTGACAACTTATATTCAATCCACATTGTCTAATTTGTCTGTAATTAAATTCGTTCTTAATCAAGCAATTGTGGTTGGTTTTTTTTGTTTTGTTTTTTTTTTTTTTTTTTTTTTAAGTCAATGATATTTGGAAATATTAATAGTATAACGTGAAGGGTATGAGAACATCAAATAATTGATTATAGTCTTAACCACACAAGAGGGTAGGTAACTAAGAGTCAAATCAAATAATGGGTAGAGATTTGCAACTTTTAGAGTTCAAACATTTTGAACCTCTTATAGTTGAATGTCACAATAGGCGAATGCCGAATAGTAACAATAATAAACGACATAGCATTTTGCATGCATGGACCACGGATCAACTTTCTTTGATCATGTTATCATTGATTTATTTTATTTTATTTTATTTATTTATTTTTCTTTTTTAAGAAAAGTAATAAAAAAATAAAATAAAAGTACTCCGTATAATTAACAAGACAAAATATGTGTATGATATGAATTTTTGATCTTGATCTCTTAAATTTAATAATACCACACATTCCATTTTGAATTTTTTTTGTAAGAATATACTTTTAAGTAGGTGGTATATTAGTATCACTATATGTGACGACATTAATCTCACCGAGTAACTCTAGTAGTCGTCTCGTAATATTATTAAATGTAAGGTTCTAGTCGATTATTGAGCTTATGTTACAAGTAATCTTAAAATTAGATAATTATATACACCGTATTAAAGTAATGTAAATATCATATTAGTGAAAAAATATACTCCGTATCATTTTGAGCTTAGGTTTTTGGAGTCATCTTTTGTACGAAGTATATTAATTTAATATAAATTAGCTTAAATTAGGATTTACGGTTTCAATTTTCTCATTCACTTGTTGCATTTTGATGATCGTTAGATTCCAAAATATAATACTCCATACTACTTAATACAAAGTATAAAGTAGAAAGCTTGATAATTTACATTAAATTAAATAATACTCGTATCGAAACAAACCTAAATCCCGAAAGTCTTACTCTAGAAACATGAACCAGATATACTATAGAATTCGATCCAAGGAATAACGGGAGTTTCACAAATTCCAAAGTATTCCAAGACCCGTACCATGAGAGCAAGACTCACTTAATTAGTCACTTAGTATACGTACAAGACAATAAAATGATTGCACTAACTATTAAATAAGTACATACGTTAGTACATACATAGAGATGATGAAATTATCAAAGTTTTCATATGATTTAGCTTGGGAGAAATCAAATGACCGTTGAATCAATGCCATGATACATTAGTATATACATGCACTAAACTATAGTGTAGTAGAATTATTTTAAATTTTAAATAAGCACCGTCAATTAAAAGCATGTTAGTTCAATTGATCAAGTTCTCAAAAGTCAAAGTCAAATGAGTGAGAACACGAAGCATGAACCCTGTTGCTAATAAGCCACACTACTTCTCTTAATTTCGTTGCACTGACCATACAACTTGAGGGAAAGCCGCACCGCACCATTGTTGATATTATTTTGTCCTCTAACCATATTATATAATTTTTATGATATAAATATAAGTCGGTCTTATTCATAAATATCATGCCAAATAATTGTCAAGCAATATAAATATATGTATTGTACATACAAGTATTTATTATTAGTATTATGTACGTAAGTCTTTCCAATCATTAATATTAAGATTATGAACTGTTTTTTTTCATAAGGTTATCTAAAGAGATTTGCATGTGATTGCTGACACTTTTATACCGAAGGATTGCAATAACATTGTACAATAATCCATTACTCAATAGTCAATATACATTACAATTAGGTTTAATTTTGGTTATGATTTCAACCGTACTCATATATCTCATCAACTTACCAAGTGTTTATTGATAGAATATAAAACATATTATTCCTGAACCTCAACCATTAACTTAAACTTTTGGTTGAAATGGTCCAGTAACATGGTATCAAAGCCAGCGTAACACAAAGGTCACGAGTTCGAATCTCATCCACCCCCCACTTTCAAGTAGAATATTTCGTGTAAATATATTCCTGAGCCTCAACCATCAGTTTAAGCTTTTGGTTGAGATGGTCCACTAACATTTACATAACAATCTCAATCATGCAAGATGCATTCATTTCACTACGTGGTGAAATGGAACTATAGTTCAACCTCTACTTTGTTACCACTCTTAGAATAAGATCAAGCAGTCATGCCGTATTGTTAGCATTTTATTTTATTTTTAAATTTATTTTACAAAAAAGAGAATTACAAAGCTAAGGGATATTATAAGTCGGTTGGTTTTATGTTAATATGTATTTTTGGCATGTATATCTTTTAGGAATTTTAGGCAAGTTGGGTCTCCTTTGTATTGTACTATATATATTGTCGTGAATACCAATACAAGGCTTAAGCTATTTTCTCCAATTGTTCTTGAGTTTAACAAGGAAAGTGATGTACGGAGTAGGAGTATATGAGAATCAATCTCAAATTCTAGATAACTCCTACTAAAAATTTTCAAGTAATGAGATTAGTTGACATCCGACCATCACCATTTCTAAGGCTTTACGATCGAATAAAAGCATTTTAATCTCGACATACTCTACCACTTAACTTAATCTTAACTCAAATGTTGGACTAAACATAACTTGAAATGGTCTATTAGTACCCCCTAGACGTACCCGTAATAGGAAACTTAGAATAGATTTTATGCACTTATACTAGTCATCAAGTCA